AGTTATGAAGAAAAAAAAATTAATAACAACAATAATGACCCGAAGCTCAACACCGCAGACGTAAAATGTCAAAAAGCGAGAAAAAAAAATTCCAAACGGTCAACCTCTCCCAACGATAAACATCAAACGAGAGAAGATAAAGAAGGAAAAAAGAACTCTTCTTTTTATTTTGCATAAAAAGATATGCAACTAAAATTTACTTGATCACGATATAGATGTTATATTGATTGACGAAAGTAAAAAAAAAATATGCAGATTAATTCCCAACACCGCGCATATCATTGGGTAAGACAAGAAAAAAATCTTAATGTCACGAGCTCGTAAGAAAGCGTTTAAAGACAATAGGGCATTTAACGTGCCAAAATTAAAATGTTTATTGTTTTTAATGAGATGAAAAGAGACGAAAGAAAAATTCGTGATTCTCTTGTAGAATTAACGTTTAAAAGTTTCACCTCTTAAGATAAAAAGAAGGAGAACATTTTGTTTTCTCACATAATAAAAATCAATTAAATGAAAATTTAGAAATTTAATTTGTTAAAATATAACTTAAAATTTGTTATTTAAGTTAACGAAAAAAAAATGAAAGATTTTTTTACTTTAAAATAAGAGAAAAAAAAGAAAACATTTTTTTAAAGAAGAGAAAAAAAATTATTTTACTAAGTTTTTTCGAAGATTGCTGCGGTGTGGTCCAACGGTGGGAGAACTGCCAAAACTTCCGGTAAGTACGGTCGATTTCCAGGAAGCACGAAGTCGAGGAGTCTGGCAGAAACGATGCAGGTCGGCTCGATTGGATTTTTAGCACTCGTCGGTTGTGCTGTTGATGAATGAAGCCGGAAATGACTCTTTGTGCGAAGACGCCAGAAGATTTCCGCTCACGCTCCAAAGACGCTCATGATTTTCCAGCAAATAGAAAAAATTAAACGGATCACAAGCTGAACCGTATTTCAGGGTTTTTTTTTAAACAAAGAAATAAATGGTTATACTGACCTAGCGTGGGTGAACAATGTTCACCCACGTACGAAGATCTGCGCTCAAAAAAAATGTAGGACTGCTTAACACCACAGGATGCGGAAGGTGAATCTTTTCCTCGAACTGGTCCTTTCTGGTAGCAGCAAACCCCTTGAGAAGATCTGATGTACGTAGTTGTTTAGGCAGTATGACATGTGCTGAATTTTGAAGTCCAAAATCGGCCAGATTTCTGGATTTTGTAAAAAATATTTCGTCGAAATTGGTGGAAATATTTTTTTTATAGTTGCAGAGATGTCCTTATAGTGAAAAAGATGCTCGATTGTCGAGATACGAGTGGAGTTCGTCTTAATGGTCGAGCACATGTGCCGAAAGTGAGGTTATGTAACTCATCAAAGTTGGAAAAAAGATAATATCTTTCGAATTTTTACGGCTGGAGATAGAGAAATTCTTCTCCGTTGAACGAAAGTTATTTTCCCAACTGTTCCAGGTGATGCTTCGTAGACCCAGGGCGAAAAAAAAATTTTTACGCTTCGAGACTCAAGTCGCGGGTCACCACTATGGAGATTATGATATATATTTATATGACTTATTGAGAGGCTTCTCCACAAGCCAAATGTGTTGTAATCTTGAAGGGTTCTGGTTGAAATAAATATTTAATATTTATTTTAATATCACACTCGACTACTTTATTCTTATCACAAGAGACAATTTACTGCTCAGTACTCTACTCTCAAAACCAATCTGCACTCCTATTCCCTGTTCTCGCGGTTCTCGCTTATTCTCCCCACAGACATGCGCATCACGCATTCAACCTAAAGGTACGTTGGTCCCCACATCTATAACAGCTCTAACCTCAACAATGAGTATACATTATTTATTATTAAATAAAAATTGAATTATAGACAATTTTTAAGTAATATGAATTTTGAACTAGTAAAGTAATTATGAAGTAAATTAATGTTATTTTAAGAACCTTTTAACCCATTAACGCCTAAAACAAGAAAATTCTTTGAGCAATTTCAACCTATGCTTTTATGAATAAAACGGATCATATTTTATACCAAAAGTATGTTCTTATAGGTTTTGAGTGTACTCTTTTCGATTCCGGTGTGAAAAAGGAATTTCGTTCAACCCAAAATTAAATATGGCGGTTTTTATTTCAAAAAACATAAAAAAATTACCAGGGTGTCCAGCTACCTTGAAAACCTTGAAAAGTACTTGAATTTTTTTTGCTCCTTGAAAACCTTGAAAAGTACTTGAATTTTATGACAAAACCTTGAAAAATTAAAATTCATAAAAGTGAGATTTATTTTCTTGATGTTTTAAATTGAATTCTCGTCAATATTTCAATTATCTTTATAAATATAAAAATTCTTCACCGAAATTCAATTATATTCAGGTACTTTAATAAAATTCATTGCAAAATAAAATTATTTTCATAAATAACAATATCAATCACGAGAATTCAATTATTTTAAAAATTCTTTACATTCTTCTCAAAAATTCAATTATTATTTTAAAAAAATCAAAATGAAAATTTTGGTCAACATTTCAATTATTATCTTTATAAGTAAATAACAATAATCTTCTACAAAGTTCAATTATTTTGTGGAATTTTAATAAAATTCATTGCAAAATTCAATAATTTTAATATAAATAATAGAATTCATCAGAAGAATTCAAATACTTTTAAAAATTTTAATAAAAATCATGGCAAATTTTCAAATTATTTTAAAAAAATGTTCTTTCTTCGATGGTTTTCAATATTCTATTATTTTAATAAAATTTCACGAAAGAATTTAATTATTAAACAAAAGTTTTTAAAATATTGTTCACAAACTTTCAATTATTTAAAAAAAAAATTTCTACATTTATTCAATTATTTAAAATAGAATTTGCATAAATTTTTTCGCAAAAATCAATTGTTTCAAAATTTGGCATTAAATTCTTCGAAGTAATTCAATTATTATTTTCAAAAGTAATAAAATTCAATTATTTTCAAAAATTTTAATAATATTCATTTAATAAAATTCGTTTTAAAATTTGGCATTCAATTCTTTGCAGTAATTTAATTATTTTCAAAAGTAATAAAATTTAATTATTTTCAAAAATTTTAATAAACCTCATTGCAAAATTTCAATGTATTTTCAAAAATTTTTCTTAATTTAATAATTTGTGTATCAATTATTTTTAATCGAAATTTCCAAAAGAATTCAATTATTTAAAAACAATTTTAATTGATGTTTCTTAAATCTATGTTCCTTATATTTCTAATATTTTATCAATAAATTGTATTTAAAGTTGTTTATGAATAACTATTGTATGTATGTAGAAATTATAAAATTGTTTATAAGTACTCCCTAAATTTTAATTAGTGAAAATATTTATTAATTTTAATTAGTTACTGACTTTTTGCTTTTTAATTAGTAACTTTCACTAAAAAATTAGTAGAAATGATTATTTATTAGTAAAATTTACTTCTTCAAAAGAAAAAAGTCAGTCACTAAATCAAATTATTATTTAAATTTAGAGAGTAAGTAAAAATTTACTTGAAATAAACTTATTGAGGAAAACTTATAAACAGAACTTACTCTATTAAAGCTCCTAAAGTTCTGAACGTTCAAATGAACGAAATTTATTTATTTCTTCTCCAAATTAAATTTTTATTGCAATTATTTTGCGTCACTATCCAAAAAATTAATAACTGAGTTTTTAACCGTAAATATTTCAGTTTTTAAATTTTTTGTGATTAGTAATTTATAAAAATATCTTTAATAAAAAATATTTCGTTCATTTGAACGTTCAAAACTTGGGGATCATCTCTATTACACTCGATTATAAATAACAAATATTTTGAAAATTAGTACCCTAAAAATGGACCTTGAAAAAAATTATTTTGCACCTTGAAAACCTTGAAAAGTCCTTGAATTTTTTTTAAAGAATCGCTGGACACCCTGATTACATTTTTTCAAGATTGATAATTATTTTTCCAATAAAACGTGTGTGTGAATAAAATTCCATTCTCAACTATAGGTGCAGTCAAATATGAAGCAAAATTTGAAAATTTTGATCTCTATTTTCCAGAATACCAAAATGTCATTTCTAATGTTTCGTATAAATTTAATCTACTTTGGAAATAAATGCCTTTTGAAGTTATAAGATTTATTTCAATAGTAATTTTTGATACAAGTGCGTAAAATAGGTTATTTCATGAGTGTGAGGTTTTCTACACGAGCCGCAGGTGAATTTTGCAAATCACACGATTGTCAGAAACGAAACCTAATTCAAAAAGAGTGAAAACATAAGGAAGCAGTTAAATTCGATTATTTGGTGTTAATGTTTAATAAAAAGAGAAGTTAAATGTAAACGATGGAAACTATTAGAAATATGCAACTTGTATGTAAAGTAACGCATGGTTAGTCAGAGGTATGTAAAGTTATCACCAATGAGTAAAATTTCTCATGCGTATTCACAACAGCGTATAAAGTAAACAGTAGTGCGTAATGTGATTTCTGTACACACTGTTTAATAATGAACTACTTTACACACAGTTAAGCGTGTGTAAAATTCAACTTTACAAGTTGGTATTGCAAAACGGTAATTTTTGGAAACCAGAATTACTTAAAAATTCAATTACTTGAAAGATGTAACCGCTGAAAGTTGTACTATAAAATTTGTAAATATATTTTTATACCAAAAACCAAACTTACCCTACACGTCGTTAATCATCTTTATAATTAATCTAATAAGATTTTTTAAATTTTCACTATTTCTAAAATAATTTTAAGTTTTGTTAATCAGTAGAAACAAAATATATTTTATTATCTAAAAAAATCTAGGTTTTAAGATTATTTTTATTCGTCAAATTAGAAGTTTCAGTAACTACTTCTTTTTACTAACTAACGAGTGTTAAGCTTGAGATTATGGTTCTTATGTGGAGAATAAGAAAACCATAGCTTATGAATGACTGAAAAAATGAGTTCCATCGTCTTAAAATATATTTCTAATAACTTGTTTTCATTATTTATCAGTTTGATGCGGATATTATCAGATTTTCAATAACTCGTAATGAGCCAATAAGTTATGAAGATTTTCGGAAGTTATTGACTGAAAGGCACGACATTGGACCTGACTTGAATGTTCACATTTTGTACACTGATCCTGCTGATCATGACTTATTGCCAATTAACAATGACAACAATCTCGCGAGGGCTCTACTCGCGGCGAAACCGCTTCTTCGAATCTGCATACAAAGAAAGGGTAAGTGCAATAAAAATAAACACTTCATAAAATTTAACATTTTATTTTTAGAAATATGTCGCTTTCATTTAATTAACATAAGTGAAACAAGTAGTACATTTAACGGTAGAAATCTACAATTGAGTAAAAGAAAGAAAGGATATACAGTGTGCAGTATCATTGGTCATTAAATCTTTTACTAACGACTATGGAATGTACAAGTAAACTCAATCAGATTTTCTAAGTCATTGTTTGCCCTCCAGAGAGAATAGTTTCTGTCTTTTTCATTCACCTCTCTTTTTCTTTCAATTAACGTTTTTTTCCTTTCAGTGAGTTTCATGAATCATACTTTTGCAAACAAACATATCTTCCTTAAGTACGCAATCTAATAATTTATTTTTAAACTTACAAAGTGTATTCATCTAATTATGCAAGGATCATTTTCAGAATACATTATTAAGAAGTAAAAAATTACCTTTTAAAATAATGTATTTAACGAAAGAATTTTTTTCATTTTACCAACAGGACACAGATTGGACACTTATTTGAAAAACTTTTGTAAATACATAAAGTAAACCAAAATTTTTAAGAATTTGTAAATCAATAGATTTATTTCACTAGAAATTTGATAATATACCTAATGTATTTAAAAAGTATAGATAGATTTTTTCAATAATTCTTTTAAAATTATTTTACAAAATAAAATAATTTTAGAAAGTAATTACAAAATGTAGAACCACTGCTAAGAAATTTTATTTTTCACAATTTTAAATTACATCGAAATTTGTCAAACAATCACAATAGGAAGTTTCAGGGTGGCCGCTGGACTGGGAAAAGCCGGGACATGACAGTTGATCTTGACCGGGAGTTTTGAAATTTTTTATTAAAAACACTGATTATTTTATAAGAAAACAAGTTGTTCATTTCATGATCATTAAGCTTCCTCAATATAATATATACCAATTGTTTAATTTTTTATTTTAGAATAATTATTTTAAAGTGTTAAGATAAAATGTCAAAAAATACAAAATTTCAATTTTTTGTGAAAATTTAAAATATTTATTAATTCTATAAATTTTGATAAAATATATACTTTATATACATGAATCAATTCGTTTTTATGTCAGGAATGCAATTTTGACAAGAATTAATAAAAATTTTAATATAGAAAAAAGTTACTTCAAAAAATCCAAAAATTATTTTTTCAAAAATTAAAAAATTGTAGAAAAAAAATTTTTTTTTAGATATTTTTGAAAATCCTTTTGTCTGATTTTTGGTATTCGTGACCGTAATACACCTACAAAATTTTATCAAAATCCGTCAAGACGTGTAAGAGAAAATTTGTCCACAAGAATCGGTGACATACACACACACACACATACATACACACACACACACACACACACATACATACACACATACATCCGGACATTTGTTCCTCTCGACGAATTATATATACTACACTTGAAAATTTGTAAAAATAATTGGTTCTAAAAAATTCGGAAATCGACATCACTATAAGGCTTCCTTTATGAGGAAGCAAAATGGAAATATTTATTTTATGACTTATTAATTATATTTCATTAAAAAAGATTGAATGATTTTTTATAAAATCGTTTTATTTTGTCAGGGAATTTTATGAAAAGTACCGGGAAAATATTCAATTTCTAGAATTTATAAGAAAATTATGAATTTTGTTATCCAACGTAACAGACTTAAAAAAAAGAAAATATTAAATTTAATTTAAAATTTTTTCTATTTCTAATAATAATTGAACAAAATACAATTTTAACTAAATTCATCTAAAAAATTTGAAAGCGAAAAAATTTTACATTCTATAAAATAGTGAATAATGAATCAATTTATGAATTTTTTTTGCAATAATATCATAAAACAAATTTGAATTAGTAAAAATTTGAACTAATTAGAACAAAAGTGATACGAATTTTCTAAAAATTAATTTTTAAGTAATAAATAAAGTAAATAAAAAATAAATAAAATTATTTTTTCTTAGAAAATAAATTTTTAAAAAACCGTATTTTGCATTAATTTTAATTCGTTTTTCTACAATAATTTATAAGTAACTATTTATATATTTTATAATTTTAAATTATTATTACTAATATTCATATGGATTGAATTTCAAAAAGTTTCAAATTAAAGTTTTAGAAAAGTTGAATATTGTAAAAAAATTTAATTAAAAATTCTGAATAAGTTAGTTTTTTGAAATATTTTAGTTAAAATTTCTAGAAAATAATTGAAATGAAATCTTGAAAATAATTTTTAATAAGTTACAGTAGTTATTCTTATAAATTATTCAATTTTAAAGGATTTGAAATTTATCAGGGTTGCCACAGGTCAGGGAAATCAGGGAAAGTCAGGGAATTTTGTTAAAAGTACTGGAAAATATTAAATTTTTAGAATTTATAAGAATTTTTTTTTTATTTATTTTTGAATTTTGGTGTCTTTTTTGTTTGCCTTATAAACTATGAAATTGACATGAATTCTAATACAAAACCTTCAATTTTTTCTATTTCCGACAATAATTATTTATTTTTAAATTACTGAGGAACTATCATAAAATTATTACTTATAAATTATTTAATGAATAATTTTAATTAATTAATTGGATTTGAAAAGAGTTGCGTTTACAATCTTTATAAATAGATGAACTTCAAAGATTTCAATTTGAAATTTTAGAAAATATCAATTTTTAATGAATTTAAAATTTTAAATAGGAATTTTAAGAACAACTTATTACAGAAATTCAATCATTTTCAAAAGTGATAAACTTCTTGACAAAATTTTAATTATTATCAAAAATTTTCCTCATTTCAAATATTTTTAATATCTAGGGGAGAGTGGGGCAAAGGCGCTATGCGGGGCAAAGACGTTTTTTAAAATATCTCTTTTATTTTCTGTCTATTCCAATTGGTATTAAAAATTAAGTTGCAATGCAATCAGACCAATTGATTAAAAAAAGAAAAACCTAAAAATATCAAATATTTAAAGAAATATAACAAAAAAATTGTTTTGCAAAAATAAAATGATAATTTTACTGAACAAACTTTTATTTTTTAAAACATAAGTTTAAGTATTTAATTTTTAAAAACGTAACATGTAAATAAATTAAATATTTCTCTACACAACTGGCGTGGTGTTTTAGTTTAATTTTGTATCTAAATATTTTTAATTTAAAGTAAAAAAAAGTTTGTTATGTGGGGCAAAGGCAATATTGAACATAATTTGGTTAAAAACAATTGAATATTCGAATTTTCTATGTATTTATCGTATTTATTCACAATATAAGGTTAAAATCACTAAAAGTTTTTATTTTCTATTTAAATAGTTTAATTCTTTTAATAATATGTTGTTAACCTTATGTTTCGTAAATATTATACTAATAAATATCACTTGTTAATTTTTTTAAGGCTTATAAATGCTTTCTTTTAGAAATATAAGCGAAAACGTCGCTGCCCCAGCGTGTGGGGCAAAGGCAATTTTTGCATTGTTTTTAAATTTCATTAAATAATGTATTTATAATTATAATATACTAAAAGACAACTATTAAAATTTCTTGTTGATTAGTTTTAGAATAATGAAAAACAAAGACCGCATAAATTTATTGCTTAATTTAAAAAATATACATCGATAAATGTAAACCTAGAGCCTTTGCCCCACTCTCCCCTACTATTTTAATACAATTTTCCAAAAATTTAATTATTTAAGGCTATGTCCAAGTTGTGAAATGTAAACAAACTAAAAGGTTACTACACAAGCACTAAAAACGCAATTTTGCGACAGCCAATTCTCCCACAAAAAATAACATTTTTACACTTTCTTTACGAAAATGGAAAATTAGAGTATCAAAGTTTCCAATAAAATTGTTTTTGACTATGAGCAATAAAAAGCAATTAGTAAAATAACTAATTAAAATGACCTGTAAAATGGCATTTTTGACGCGTCGCGAAAAATAAACTGTTTGAGTATATCAACCGCACGGATGATGAAGAAGGCTCATGTCAGCGATTGGACCTTCGACATGTGGAAAGGGAAATTTTTCCCTTTCCTCCTTGAAATTACAAGAGAAAGGGTAAAATCTTCTTCATCGTCCGTGCGGTTGATATAGTCAAACACTTTAATTTTTCGCGACGTGAACTCTGTTGCTCGCTGCGCGTGCGCAGACCGTACCAAGGTCGCAATGACATCACCATGCAAAAAGGCACATTTTGTTTTTGACTGAAACTCAGTGGTTTTCTCATTTTTTCAGTTATTCAAAGTTTAGTAACCAAATTCGATACTTTAGTTCACCATTTCCATAAAGAAAATGTGAATTTATATTGATTTACGCAAATAGGAACAGCGAAAAAATGCTTCATTATAGACCGAATAGTGAAGCATTTTTTCGCTGTTCCCATTTGCGTAAATCAATATAAATTCACATTCTCTTTATGGAAATGGCGAACTAAAGTATCGAATTTGGTTACTACACCTTGCATAGCTGAAAAAAATGAGAAAATAACTAAGTTTCATTCAAAACAAAATGTGCATTTTCGCATGGTGCTGTCAATGCATTCTTAGTTTTGGTTTTGAATGATACTCAGTGGTTTTCTCATTTTTTCAGTTATTCAAGGTTTAGTAACTAAATTCGATACTTTAGTCCGTCATTTCCATAAAGAAAATGTGAATTTATATTTATTTACGCAAATGGGAACAGCGAAAAAATGCTTCATTATAGAACGAATAGTGAAGCATTTTTTCGCTGTTCCCATTTGCGTAAATAAATATAAATTCACATTTTCTTTATGGAAATGGTGAACTAAAGTATCGAATTTGGTTACTAAACTTTGAATAACTAAAAAAATGAGAAAACCACTGAGTTTCAGTCAAAAACAAAATGTGCCTTTTTTCATGATGATGTCATTGCGACCTTGGTACGGTCTGCGCACGCGCAGCGAGCAACAGAGTTCACGTCGCGAAAAAATAAACTGACTATATCAACCGCACGGACGATGAAGAAGTTTTTACCCTTTCTCTTGTAATTTCAAGGAGGAAAAGGAAAAATTTACCCTTCCACATGTCGAAGGTCCAATCGCTGACATGAGCCTTCTCATCATCCGTGCGGTTGATATACTCAAACAGTTTATTTTTCGCGACGTGTCAAAAATGCCATTTTACAGGTCATTTTATTTAGTTATTTTACTAATTGCTTTTTATTGCTCATAGCCAAACATGATATTTTTGGACATTTTGAAACTCTAATTTTCCATTTTTGTAGAAAAAGTGTAAAATTGTTATTTTTTGTGGGATAATTGGCTGTCGAAAAATTGCGATTTTAGTGCTGGTATAGTAACCTTTTGGTTTGTTTACATTTCACAACTTGGACATAGCCTTAAACCAAATTTTAATAAAAATTTCACAGGAATTAAATTACTTAAACCAATTTTTTACAAATTTCTTCGCACCAATTCAATTATTTCGAAATTATAAATGCTTTATAAATTTGAAAAATTATAATAAAATTAATCATAGAATTAAACTATTTTCGTAAAATATATATATAACACTCTTCCTAGGAATACAATTATTGTCAAAAATGTTTGTAAAAATCTTTGAAACAATTCAATTATTTTCGTAAAAAATAAAATTCTTAGAAGCAATTCAATTATTTAAGAAATTTTAATAAAATTCTTCCCAAGAATTAAATTCTCTTCAAAAATAAAATTTTTGACAGGAATTAAATTATTTAAAAAAAAAATTAATAGAATTCTTCGTTAGATTTCAATTGTTTTCAATTCTGAGTTTTAAAAAATTCTGAGAAATTCAATTATTTAAACAAATTTTTAATAAAATTCGTTTCAAGAATTCAATTATTTTCATAAATAATAAAACTTATCGCAGAATTCAAATCTATCATGTTGATTAACAAACTATCAATATCAATGTTTACTATACTTTTATTTTTCATGGAATAATTTATTTTGAGAGTTATTCTTCATGACCGGGAATGGACCTGGAAATGACCGTGAATTTTTTTATGAAAATAGTGTCCACCCTGAAGTTTTTATCAATTCTATCTCTATGAGGAGGCAAAAGTTTAAATAATTCAAATTGTAATTTAAGAAAATTATTAAAACAATTTTAATGGTTTTATAGGTGACGATATCGACGACACAAATGGATACGGAACGATGAAGCCGAAGAATCTCATTTCGAGTATTTTAGGTGGGACACCTGCAAAAGCAAAGACTCCGATCATATCAAATCCTCATGATTTCCGACAGGTACAGTAAAAACTAATACTTTCTCATATGATGAGAATGTAAAAATAAATTTTGCGTTTTAATATTAATTTATTTCTAATTTTTCATTTTTTGATTATACATAAAAAACTAATGGAAATTGGTATTTCAACAGGTTTCTGCGATAATTGATGTAGACATTTTGCCTGAAACATGTCGCCGTGTTCGATTGTTAAAACACGGCTCTGACAAGCCCTTAGGATTTTATATTAAGGACGGTGAAAGTTTTAGAGTATTACCACCTTCGGCAGGAGGTGGAATTGAAAAAGTACCCGGAGTTTTTATCAGTAGATTAGTGCCTGGCGGTTTGGCGGAAAGTACTGGACTTTTGGCAGTTAACGACGAAGTTTTAGAAGTCAATGGCATCGAAGTCGCCGGGAAAACTCTTGATCAGGTTTTTGAAACCTTGTGTTTTTTCTATTTTAACAATTTTACTTGAAATTTATTTATACATTTTATTTTATATTATATTATATTTATTTCACTAATGTAGAAAAGTTTTTGATAATATATAAAGAAAAACTAAGATCAATTAAAATTCTTGAATATAAAATTGACATATATTTATCTTCATTAGGTGACTGACATGATGATTGCCAATTCATCGAATTTGATAATTACTGTAAAACCGGCCAATCAACGGGCAGCCTTGACTGCTCCGCGACGAGGTTCATTTTCGCGAAATAGTCAAGTGTCATCAGGAAGTCACCAATCAACACAAAGCGCAGCCACCGGCAGTGACGAAGACGCTGATGAAATAGTTGATTTGACTGGCGTGACGCTACACGACGACGCTACCAGTTCTTCTTCCCATCATTTACACCATCATCATCATCATTCACACAGTCATTTTAGCCACGATCAGGGAGTGTTGCATCTTTAAGAAAAGAGTCACGAGAATAATTGATGACTTTTCCGAATTATCCTCAATTAGAAACATTCAATTTTTACTTAAACCTCTCAATTTGTTTACATTGAAAACTGTAGGAAACTAATGAGAAAGAAATAATTGCTATACATAAATTGATAAAATTATTCCTTAAATAGGAAATTATTTCTTCAGTTGAAAGACGTTTTCTTTGTTCATATATAAGAAAAAAATTTTTTTGAGAAAACTTTGAAAAGATGGATTAAATTTGAGAGAAAGGGAGAGCTTTAGTGTGTTCAAAATTCACTGAGAGTAAATCAATTTTCAAGATTAAGATTAGTATAATATTGAAACGAAGGAATATTGTCTGACATTTTTAATATTGAATTTTCAATGAATTGAAATTTTTAACGTCGTCTTCCTATTTAAATGCAAAATATTGATCGAATTTATATTTTATTAAATTAGAATGTTTCCTTTAAATTATAATCTAAATTACTCAATAATTCAAATTTTTCATCTGAAACAAATTGCATTTTTAAGTAGAATAAACTTAATTCATATCTTTACATTAAAATTTAAAAAAAAGATGTTAAAATTTTGAAATACCTGAAGTTCTGTAAAGTATTTGAATGACATTTTTTAATACTTTTTAAAGTATATTTAGAAAATGTAAACAAATGTGCCTAAGCTATTTAGACAATTTTGAAACAAATTAAAGATAATTTGTTTGGTTCATTTTCATATATAATCTGAAGTATGCATATTTTTTTCTAAAATTTGATAAAAGATTAAAAATTAGATTAATATGTTTTAACTTGCTTTATTGGAATAATTTAAAAAAAATTCAATATATTTTAACTCCTATAATTATTTTCAAAGTGTTAATAATTTTTTTCAATTATTTAAATTAAAGAAAAAATTTAAGTTTATTTAAAAAGTACCTATTTTAATTATATAGTGAATTCACTTTTCATTATATTTTTAATTGTTTTAAATGTTACAATGTTTTGTTTTTTATATTATAAAATAATATTTTTTAATCCTTTTTCCCAACTTATTGACGATTATTTCAGTATTATTTCAGTATTTTTTAATTTTTTCAAGCTTTCACTTAATTTGAAAAATATAATTTATTCATTTGACTGATTTTTTAATTTAATTTCTATAATTTTCTAATTTTTTTTTGTTAATGTTTCGAAAAATTGATATTTATGAAAATTCAATAAAACATATGTTAGGAAATATTTATTCGTCTTAAAATTAAATAAGTATGCTCAATGCTACTTTTGTCTGCTCCAAGTTTTTTACATTATATAAATATATATACACACAAATATATAAATATATATTTTTTAAATTAGAGATACTTTAAATAAATTAGAAAGAAACGAGTATTAATCGCAGCGTCTCAAGTATTAAATCAAGTACTTAATTAGGGATCAAGTGTACTTAAAAAGAGGTGAAGAGTCATTTTACATTTTTTTTCATTTTTTTTAACGGCTCACTACGGCTGGACTGTATTTTGATCCGGCTTTAGATATTTATCCATTTTACCTTTTAACTGCATCGAATTGTACATAATATAATAATAAAAAAAGGAGAAGACGAGTTTTTGATTAAAGAAAAAACCAAAAAAAAGGATAAATTTTGGATGATCGAATTAATTATATTATTGTCTGTAAATAAAAGTCGATTATCCTCAAGAAATGATAACTTTTCTATGCCGTTTTTAATAATTATAAAAAAACGAGAAACAAAAAGGGGCCTTATAATAATCGCCTTTCGATTATGATTCAAGAGAAAAATCTATGTGCCTCTAATTTCTTTTTTCTTTTTCTCCTTTTCTTTTAACTTTGTTTCTTTTTTTATTCGCACGAATATTTTTCGTGTTCGTTTCCGTTTTTATTCTAAATGAATGAATACTTAGCACGTTGAAGTTTTCGAATTTTAAAAAAACCCGTCTTTTTACAAATGTTACTTGTTATCTAATCGAGCAATAGATATTAAATCCTAATGTATTTTAACGAATTTTAGTGTTTAAGGATTAATTTTTCAGAATACTTGATAGTATTCTTGTACATATTTTGATGAGTTTTTATTGATAATTTGAAAAAATATTTTAATGAGACATATCAGAAACCATTTTTATGGGGTTGTTTCAAATATCTTCAGTTTCCTTTTTAATTTTTTAAGTGTGAGATATTATCATTTAATTCTTTTTTCTAATTTGAATTTACGACTTTGTTAGAACAATTTTAAACCTTTCGAGAAAAAAAGTCTTTTATTTTGGAATGTTTTGCTGTTGAGATAAAAATAAAAAATGTTACTAAAAATGAATTGTTTATAAACAAATAATTAGAATTATGGTTATTTATGAGACAAGTGCGAAAATAACTAACATTAATTTTAATGAATTTAAATAAAACATTTTAAAATTGTCAATTACATGTTACTCCTTAAAAATAATTATTAATTTTTCGAAACGTTCAACATTTTTTTAATTATATTCTTAAGACTTCAGTCCAAAGTATAATTACAAATTATTTTATTATAACTTTATTTCAATTAAAATATGTAAATGACTGAATTTTTCCAATTATCAAACAACAAAAGTTAATGAAATAAATGAAATGACCCTATTTTTAGAATTTAAGATATATTGAAAATACTCGAATCTTATTAAACGGAAAAAAGTCAAATGCCTTTTAGCAGTTGTTGAAGAAAAAGATTTTTTATTGTATATAAAAAAGCATAGCTTTTGTAGTGCCTTCGAAAATCGGAAATTATCTTTTGTAACAACATACGAAATATATTTCCGCCATACATTCCATTTCAATTGGAGCATGATTAAATTTTCTGCTCTTTTTAACATTTTTTTGGCTTTACTTCCTTTCCTGTGATTATAAATCAACGTAAATGACTTGAAAATATATTAAAATAAAATGTTTTTAATTGTAGTTTAAATATAAAAAAATATAAATTTTTCAATTAATTTGAGCAGCTTTACAATAATTTAAGTATTTTAAAATTGTAATTTCAGTGCTTTAAAAACAAAAATGGTATTTCTTCAAAGAATTTGGTTATTTTTCAAATTTTTTGAATCTCTGTAGGTAATATAAAAAAAAGTATATTCTCAACGAAAACATATCTTTGGAAATTTTTTAACGATGTATAATTTTTAACAATTCTTTACTGAAATGTAATATTTCAACCGACTACTGTGTAATACTTAATCTACTTATATTTAATGACGATGTAATAAAATATTTTACTCAAAAAAATTGTTTTCATTTTAGAATTTTAAAGTTCAGAGATGAGATTTCTATGTAAAATATAATTTATTGAAATTTAATTATTCAAATTTATTGTCATTTAATTAAAATAAAAATAAATTTAAATTAATTAAAAAATAATAATTGTTCACATTAAAAATTTTCTAGATGGTTTTTTGTTTTGTCACTATGGATTAAATAATAATTTTGACAGTTTACAAAAAGCAAAACAAATATATATCTCTCTAACCTTTTTCTTTATAAAGTATGAAAAAATTATTATAAAATCGAATAATTGGATATCATTAAAATACGCAGAAATATCGTGAATCAAGTTATTATTAATGAAAGTGAAAAGGAAGAATAGTTAGAAAGATAAACAATTAGATAAAAAATGTCATATATTGATCACGGATCACGGATTTTTAGCGACGCAAAAGGATTATCCATGAGTTATGGGGATTTTGTTTTACCAAGGAAAAGATCGGAAGGCAGGTTAAAAACTCACGATTCCTGTACAGATATCAGAGCATGGAGTTTAAATCCTACGGAAAATTCTCGATATTTTCGAGAAGTCGCCGAAGATATTCCAAATGTTTGTTTTTAAATCTTTAATATTATATATTATTAATTTTATACCTATACATATTTTTTATTATAATTTTATTTTTTAATTTCATACTTGTTTGTATTATAATTTACTTTAATAACTGGTATCATATTGTTTCATTAAAATATAATTATTTATTAGAGAATACACTTTGTAATGATTGTAAATTGTTAAATGATACGGCCGATGCTCGTCGGAACTGGTTCGTGAATTAAATTTCAAACAGTTAGAATTTACGAATTTACGTAAACTGTATAAATAATAACAAATCGTCTGTAAGAAAGGTTTAATAAACAAAATATTAAAATCGTAGAACAAAATATGAAAACGTCGAATAACACTTCGTTACGTATTTTGTTGGTTCGAGATTGATGTTTACAAAAAATTAAATACGGTTTACGCCAGAAATAAACGTTCTTTTCGCGGTTTTCGAACTGTACTCGCGTTTTTCAAAATTTGAACTACCTTAAAATTTAAATTTGCTAATAGTTGAAGTAAAATAATCATTAATTAATTATTAATAAATATTCTTCTTAGAAACAATTTAAAATTTTTTTCCAAGAATTCAATTATTTTCACAAATAATAAAAACCTTGGCTGAAATTCAAATATTTTTAAAATCTACAAATTTAATAATATAAAATTTCTCAAAAGAATTCAATTATTTAAAAAAAATTAATAAAATACTTCACAATAATTTAATTAATATCATGAATAATAACATTTTCACAGGAATTCAATTATATGAAAATTATAATTTGCAAAAAAAAATTTTGAAAATAAATTATTCAAAAAATATTTACATAAAATACTGTGGAAGAAATTAATATTTTTCTCAAATTTTGATAACAATTCTTTATAAGCATTAAATTATATTCATAAATAATTAAATTTATTGCAAGAATACAATTATTTATAAAATACAGTTTTAATTTAATTATTCGAAGTAATTGAATTATTCTTTTGAATTTTTATAAATCTCTTTAAGGGGGAAACCACATTAGAACGCTGTTTTTTAGCCGTTTTTCGCGAATTTTTCTTTTAAGTAAGAATTTTTTGGAATGAAATAAAACATTTCCACCATATTGTTCATATATTTAACTGTAACTCATATTTTTTAAGCGTTTATATAAAAAATCTGCTGCTCCGCCGGAGTTCATGACTGCTGTGCAGTCCTGAGCCCACAAATTTTGTCCGAAAGCAAAAAATCAAGTTTATTAACATTTTATAAATATTTTATTGTTAAGTGAACTAACTTTTAAGTGAAAATATTGAAAATTGAAAAATTGACACTACTTTTAAAAAAAATTTGATTTTTTGCCTATTTTTTGCAACTTTTTTATTTAAAAAAAGGTACTAAAATTTTTTTTTTTCTTTTCAAGTTTAGTTCTCTTAATAATAAATTTAATAACTAACACTTTCCAATTTTTCATTTTAAAATTGGTCAATAACTTTTTGAGCTACACTGCACGGTAATTTCAAAAATCCTGTTTGGAGAAAAACGCATTTGAGAAAAAAGTATCAAAAAATTGATATTTATACAAAAAATTTTTTTTAAAGTGATTACACTTTAATCGGCTATTCCAGCACTATATATATCCC